GATGCGGGGCTCAATCCCAGGACCCTGGGATCATGACCTGAGCCGAAGGCAGACGCTTAACGACTGAGCCACCCAGGCGCCCCTGCATCAACCAATCTGTGTCTCGCAAATTATGGAGGAAAATGTAAAGCGTGTACTTCTTACAGGCCACTGTATTTTGATTTATAATATATGGGCTCATAAAAGGTTGTATGCAAAGCAAATTCTATTTTAAAAGCATTAGAGTCATTTACTACTGAAAAGAATCCCGTGGTGAATTGTTTTTGTAAAGGTATTAATTCCCCAATGTCTTGTTTCTCTGAATCCAGATTTCCATACATTATATTCATGTTGGGCTACAGCCTAAGTATGGAGAAAACACTAATATTTTGAGTATGCTGGGAGTGGAGTCAAAACCCACAGAACCATTTTCTGGCAATCTGCACAGAATTACAGTCTTCACACCTGCATTTCTGAACCTGAGAATTTTTTTCCCTAAGATTTTATGTATTTATTTATGTGAGAGACAGACCGAGCACAAGCAGGGGGAGGGGGAAGGGCAGAGGGAGGGGCAGAGGCAGAGGGAGAAGCAGACTCCCTACTGAGCAGAGAGCCCTACGGCGGACTCAATCCCGGGACCCTGGGATCATGACCTAAGCTGAAGGCAGACGCTGAACCGACTGAGCCACCCAGGCGCCTGGCTGAACCTGATAATTCTGATAGGAAATATATTATAATAAAGCCTTGAGTCTCACTCACTCAGCTAGTCGGCATTGACAGTGGGCTGGTGAAGAAATTCATGTCTGAATTTGGGGCCGTGTGACCTTGAGTTAACCATTAATTTCTTTGTGCCTCATTTCCCACATCTTAAACTAAGAATAAAAATAGGACCCCTCTACCCTCTATCCTAGGGCTGCACAAGGATTAAATGACATACAGAATACAAAACAGCCAGTATGGTGCCTGGCACATACAAAGTCTTCAACAAATGGATTCATCACCGCGGGCTAAAGCCCATGGTTAAGTGCAGGAGACACGCAGGAAGCCCCCTACGACTTGGACTGATTGTTCTCAGGACTTGGAAATGAAAGTGAGAACCGGACATAGCCACTCAATGGAAAGCAGCAGGCAAAATATTAAATTAAGATAAAATTGGAGCCTTCTCTTGATAGACACCCGTAGTTTCTGCTTGCAGACTATGTGAAAGATAGAATGACCTTCAATACTTAATGGAAGTGTGAATCATCCTCAGCAAACCACATGATCTTATATTGGGTATCTGCAAGAACAGTTATATTTGATATGAGAGCATACTCTGTTTTTCTGCTCAGAATCTTGAAGTAGCTTGTTAGTTTTACCTTTGGATTTTGACGGCTCTTCACAGCCTCTGAAACAAAAGTCAACTTCATGCCCCAGGCATTAGAGACGCTGCGCCATTTCCCCTCTCTCTCTGTTTCTACCTTTATCTCCTACAAACCCCGTAGACAAACTCACTATTCTGCCCCAACTACAAAACTCAGTAATTCTCAGACAGCGCTAAGGCTATACAGCTTTGTACGGTAGTAAATCTGGTATGTTTCTTATCTCATCTGGAGACCACTGGAGGCCAGGGACCTCATCTTAGACATTCATAGATTTCCCCTCAGTGCCCAGCACGGAATACGCACCTAATTAATAGTTGCTAAATAAATGGACTACCTTATCCTTCTATTCATTACATTCATCTCCACATAGGAATAGGAACCTGTGATGCCCTTTTGTTTCAATGTCATTACCTTCATTTAACTGACAGCCTCCTTCCTGAAGTTTTTTTATTTTTAATTGAAGTACAGTTGAATGACAGCCTCCTTTTTAAACTTCCTGATTCAGAATAATTACGTTTCTTTAAAAAGTTACACTTCTCAATTATCCTGAGGTTGCAGAGTTTTTAAATTCTATACAGCTGTGAGAATCCTCTCAGTAATGATTTTCTTTTTTTTTTTTTGCTAGGGCTCACTGTAAACTTTTTTAAAAATTTTTTTATTTATTTGAGGGAGAGAGAGCACAAGCAGAGGAAGGGGCAGAGGGAGAGGGAGAAGCAGTCTTCCCGCGGTGCAGGGAGCCCGATGTGGGGCTCGATCCCAGAACCCTGGGATCATGACCAGAGCTGAAGGCAGACGCTTAACCGACTGAGTCACCCAGGCATCCCCATTTTAACACTTTAAAGTTGAGAAAGCATTTTTGTATCCGAGTCACTGTCCGTTTCACTATTGCGTCCTCTTCCCATTTAACTGCAAAACCATGACTGGATTCTTATTTCATTCACGTCACTGCGCGACTCCAAGTATAAGTAGAAAAATGTTTTAAATGTTTGAAAAAAAATAAAAACTATACAGCTAAAAAATCAAATCAAAAGACAAAATATATATACATACTCATGCCCCATCATATATACTCATCTCACCCGCACCCCTCACTGCCCTCACCTATGCGGTCCCACGCCCCCACTTCTGAAACTCCAGCCAATAGTGCACTCCCAGGGAAACACCGAGAGTCACTGGTTGCCTTCCAGTTGTCACTGAGTGCCCCAAATGCTGAGATTTGAGTCAATAAGCCCACTGGGATTGTGCCATCCGTTTGAAATCAGGTATTCACAACAGTGAAGGAGGAATCTGTTGCTACAACTCATAGCGAAACCCACAGGAAGGAGGAAAAGGAGGAAGACTGCTGGATTCATTCATGCTAGCCCTCTAGGCTCCCCTAGAAAGTCTTAGACCTGATCTAAGACATTAAATGGGGAATTTGGAGCTCTCTGATGAGCCTATGCTTCTTTTAATAAGCCACAGACTGGGTGGCTCAGTCGGTGAAGCATCTGCCTTCGGCTCAGGTCATGATCCCGGGGTCCTGGGATGGAGCCCAATCTTGGGCTCCCTGCTCTGCGGGGAGTCGGCTTCTCCCTCTGCCCCTCCCTCCCTCCCACCGCCCCACCCCATTCATGCTCTATTTCTCTCAAATAAATAAATAAAATCTTAAAAAAAAATAAGCCACAGACTGCAGACTGTATCAAGCATCTGTTACAGTAAAATTCCCCCAGATGACAGAACTAAAATCGTTTCAGGGTGGGAATGGAAAGGGACTAGGACATAGGCTCTGGGTGATGACTGAGGAAGCGCTTTCCTACGCTTCTTGTCTTACAGAAGTTGGCTTTAAGATTTAAGCTTGCCACTTTCAATCACCCATCTGATTACCCAGTATGATCTCGGACTATTTTAAGAAATTTAATTATGGAAAGAGTATTATTTGGCAGGCTCATTCTTGAAAAGGACTTAATTTCTGGCAAAGTATCTGAAATATCAACAATCTATTTTTCCATAGCATGAATAAGCAAAATATATACATGTTAGACAGCATTTCTTTTTAGGAAAACCAGGAAAGAGAAATAATATGCTTGTAGTTATTTCTGACTTGTTTCAATATCACTGATTTTGGAACGAATGACAAAAAGATACCAGTGTGAGGAACACCCTAACAGGTTAGACTGGTAAATGCTACAGCTCCCATTTCAGGGAGTGGCCATGTGGCTTTGTACGGTATCAACAGAAAGGAGTCCAAACAGAAAATATCACTTTGTTTTGCAATGCCAATCAAGTGAATATTACTACATAGGTACAGAAAATGTGTGTGATCCCACAGTATGAGGATGTATACTCCTCATTATTTGATTCACCCACATTTAAGTTTCCTGGAGCTGTAACTAAAGAAATCTAGATTCACATACAAGGAAAATGCTAATCATAGTGCTGATTACACACACACAGAAACATACAAATACATACACACAGTTGAGTCTTGGACAACATGGGTATGAAGTGGACAGGTCCACTTACACGTGGATTTTTTAAAAAAATACATTTTACAGTACTGTAAACGTATTTT